GCGCTATAAAAAATAACGCCAGTTGGATGCTTCTTGCTCCTAAATATTTGCATTAAGGGTGGCCAGTGCTCTAAACGTTGCTTTATTTGCACAAAGACACTTCGACCACCAAGTAAATTCAGATTATTTGCTTCCCGAGAGCCCCTGTTGCACTGCAGTGAAGTCTCACAGGAAGGACTGTGATTTAGGGGAATCAAGCAGTCAAAGCAGAGGAAGTTACCTCCAATACTGCGATTTTAAGGGGGGAAAGCAGCGTTTCGGTTGTGACGTGAGGCTTTTTGACCTCTTTTTTTATTTGCATGCAGGCATCATGGTGAGTAAGGAGCCCAGCAAATGCTTACTCACCGCCTCGGAAAGCGAAGTGGAGCCAGCGGCTTCCCTGGCGCTGGAGATGAAATACGCCCTGGATCCCAACCGGCAGATCAAGAAACGCAACAAGGCCCTCCAGGTGCGCTTCAAAGACATCTGCGAGGCCCAGAACGAGCAGAGGGACCGACAGCTCAGCGCCGCGCAGGACCCCGACCGGAGAGACGCCAAGGCCATCGCCTACAAAACGGCCTACCGCAAGTACATGACGGTGCCCGCCCGCAGGTCCATCCCCAACGTCACCAAGAGCACAGGAGTCCAGACTTCCCCCGATCTGAAGAAGTGTTACCAGACTTTTCCTCTGGACCGCAAAAAAGGGAATATCCTGAAAAGCGCCTCGGCCGTCGATACCTTTAAGGGTCAAAACAACGGGTTTCTGATCGAGAAGGACGGCGGCGGCGCCGGGGAGGCCGCGCAGTGGGGCAGGAAGGCCGGCAGCCTGCAGACGGCCGAGTTCATCTCCCACATCAACGAGCGCGCCAACGCAGGCTCTGGCGACGATGGGGCTGAGGCCTGGCAAGGCAGCGATTTGCACAGCTCTCCCAAAGAGCCGCCTCCTCCTCCTCTCCCAAATTCGGCCGACCCCGCTTCGGAGGAGCCAGGCCGAGGGAAACAGGCGCTGGGGAGGCTGGGGAGCGAGGAGGCCGCCCAGCCCCTCCATGGGAGGGTCTTCAAGACTGAAGTGGCCACTGTTTATTTACCGGCGTCCGCTTCGAACGCTTCGCAGCCCGACCTCACGGGCCCTGAAAGCGACTGGTCACCGTGCCCGGCAGCCGAGGAGGACAGAAAGAGGACGGTGCACCTGAACGGGGTTCAGCCCCAGGCGGGAGATGCTCGAGCCTGCCCGTCGCGGGCGCAGTGCCCCGCCGCCGAATGTAACGAGCAGCCCCTTCAGATCAGCGTCTCTGCCATGGAGGAGAACCAGCCGTGCCGGGCGGCCGTGGCGGTGAGCGAGGAATGCCAACAAATCGTGCCTCACACCGAAGTTGTGGACTTGAAAGCGCAGCTTCAGATGATGGAAAATTTGATCAGCTCGAGTCAGGAAACCATTAAAGTGCTGTTGGGTGTTATACAGGAGCTAGAGAAAGGAGAAGCTCACAGAGAAGGGTGAGTAGAAGCTTTTTAAATGGGTATACGCTGGTTTAAATGCCTTTCCTAGAAAGTCCTGCCCCTGTATTTGCTCACGTTAATTTGCAGCCGGCGCCGCGCGTTCCTCTGCGCCACACCAAGACGTTACACACTGCACTGCTCACACGGACCGAGGTTGCTGCTTTAGAGGCGAGACCAAGGGAAACCCGCCAGCAGCGCTCACACATTTGGTATCCGCGTGTCCTAGGATGCCATTAAGGAGTTATTTAACGAGGGACCTGCGATATCTTTTCTTGTACCTTTTCTAACGTGCACAGAGCGAGCCGCTCTCCAAACAGGATTAGCGAGGATGCTTTCACATCAGCAACTTGTATTAACCATAATACCTCGTGTGGCATGAAAAGCAGCAGAAAAACCTTAATTCTGTAAGAGTCTTACCTTCTCGAGATTAAGGGATATTATTACAGCTGCTAATATAATTCCATTAATGGCAGACGAATCTTGTCTGCATTCACCTTCTGCATGTTTAATGGTGTTTCAGAGGGAAATGGAGTAACTCTGAACATCAAAGTCTTCTGTACAGCATTTACACTGCTCTACACGTGACCAACGCAAGCATAAAGATACAGGATCCTGTTTATCCCTAACGCACATTACTTCAACCAACCTGTAAGGCACCACAAATATTTACTGAAACACAAACCAACCTTTATTCCTTACCTACACGGTTCAACCCATCTCTTACATTAACTCCACCAGCATTTTTCAGGCTTACTCGCCTTAGTTTGCTCATCTTCATTCAGTGGCCGCGCTTCAAAATGTTTGTGTGTTTTTAAATAGTCCTGCAATTAAACCTTAATTTGTCAGAAGAAATCTGGGGTTTACAATTAGGAACCGGTAGCTCTTGCTACGTGAAGCAGCACCGTGGTTTAATTTCATCTTCGGAGTCGCAATTCAACTCGAGGAATGCAGAAAACATCTTGTTCATCCTACCAATTCCGAATGTTTTTTCATTAAAAAATCATCTGAGCTGTTGGACAACGTTGTCAACACAGCCCTAGCGTTTTCCGCTTACTTTTACAGCCGGGTTTCGTATTTTTAGCATACCTTGTCAGATCCGGCACCTGCAGCCTGGGAAGCTGCTTGATCTAGCTGAAAGCAACACAGACTTTCTGATTTTTAGGTGTTTTAAATTCTAATTCGGAAAAAGCTTTGCTCTGAGTGACTTCCCTTACAGAAACTGCAAGGGAATTGGTGCAGAAAATCCTTATTTCTTCCTCATCCTCACACAAGCAGACCCATTTAATGTAGGACACATGAGATGCGTATCCCCGTCCTCAGCACAAGGGGTCTGGCCCAAACTATGGATAATTGCTCTTATCTTTAAATAATCCTGCGGTTTTCACCCTGACAGAGCTATGGCCTAGATGAACCCTAAAACACATCCATAAACCTCGTTTTTCAGACTCTTCCCTGCCTCAAACACACAGACTTGGGTACCAGTCTGCAATGACACCGTCTTGGACCAAAAAGAGCCCATTTTTCGGCACTCCTTTACTTCCCCCGCCACAAATTCCCCAGCAACGGTGAAATCTCCACCTAAAGACACCCCACAAACTGGGAAACCTTCGCACACAAGTTGTGGTGCAGAAAAGAGAATTTAAACGCCTTAATGACGCTTTAACCAAACAAGCCCCAGCGCATCATTAACACCAAATCCGTCTTCATGCCCGTTTCCCTCACACCACACAACCATTTCCAGAGCAGCTTTTATTAGGATTCTTCTTACCCATAACCGCATTCATCTCCACAGCGTTTTTGCCACCGCTGCGCACGCTGTTACAAATATCCCCCATTTTAGCGTATTGGCCTTTACTTCCTTTTACAACCATTGGGCATTAGGTCAGTTTACAGCAAGAAATTAAAAGCAGCTACGCCTCTGCTTACTGTAGCACGGACAAGCCCTCCATCTGCTCAACCAGAAAATACTCTGTATTTATGGCACTCGCCTGCTTTTCTTATGTATATTGAATTCTTTACAAGAAGATATGTCAAGAAACAAATACAAATAACGGGCTGCTGGGGAATAAAAACAACAGATAAATCACTTAATCAGATTGCTCTGCCTTTAAGAAAATCAGTGTTTTTAAGCGCTGTTGCGGCGCCGTGGGAGCGCTGCTCACTGGATTCATTTTCCCTAATACGCTGTAGGTCTTGAACTGCTGTTCCTGCAATTCATCACTAAACGAGCCTACGCCAGCAGAACGGTATCGGTGTCTCAAGATAGCAGTGTCGTCCCGGGGGTGAACAGCACCTCCGGATACGTCCCAAAGTGTCAGCACTACATTATCTGCAATTAGCGACCACGTAGAGCGCTCGGCTGTGCCCAAAAGAAAGGGGAAAAGCCATGGGAGGAGGAAGAGGGACACAGAGCATCCCCAAGGAGACTGAGAACCACAGCATTGGGCACTACATCACTTACTTAATGCATTAGATCCATCTAAACAACACGTGGTAGGTTTGAGGACGGGAGTAGAAATCGTTATCCATACGCTGTAACTCCCCAAAATTCAAGGAGATTATTAAAACCCTGTCTTTCTTATTCCTTGTTGCATCCAACAACGGTTGCATTAAGCCATGCATGGATAAAAGCGCCCGACTTCCAGCTCCAAGTCCAAAAACATTGAATATTACATGATGCAAGGCGCAGCTTTACAACACAAAGCAAGTTTGATGCCCTGAATGGTGTTTCCTAGTAAGCTATCAGCAGTCTCTATCAACTACAGATATTTTTGGCTGGTTTTGGATACAGGGCATGCAACTAAGCCAAATTCTGCTCGGTATTACCTGTATAATACTAAGGCCAAAAGCAAAAGCTCATTTTAAGTTGCTCATTCCCAAAGCTGGCCAACCGCAGCACTGCCTGTGAAATATGTAACAGAGGGTGAACAGATAATCCACAATATATACATAGATTTATAACATGTATTTCTGCAGCTGGAGAACCACCATGACGTGCCCTTTCAATCCTCACTGGGAACAGGAACAGTCATCCAGGCCCTTCCCATTGTACCAAAAATCAGGGATTTTGAGAAGCAAAGTACCCAACCTGCCATACAAAACTAAGCCCCAGTGTTTTGGCGCTGACGGGCCAAATGCTGCACGTTAGACACCAGTTACATGAACCTGCTCTGGAGATCATTTGTATTCATTTATCGGCCGACAGGAATTTAAGGAGCTCTCAGCAAACAGCCATGAAACAAGCAGTGCCGGGCTCCTTTGAAGAGGCTGTGAAAGAACACGTTCTCATGGCCAGAATTTAAATGTTGCTTCACGTTTTCCAATGAATTTGGGATATTTGCATTTCTTGTTATCATTTCTAAGCAGAAAAACCCCAATACTGTGCGTGCGGACGGACAACTGAATCAAAAAGGAGAGCAGAAGCACACGAGCCGATGTTCTTCAAAACCAGGCAGCTCCTTATTTGACATCAGGAGAACAGAAAACTCAAAGTTAAGAACACAAATGGGCAGAACTGATGTGACATGGATTCGTTTGGGATTTCTCCCCCTCTTGGTTTTATGGCTGCCTTTATTTTCAACTCGGGTCTTCACAAACACCCATTTTCTCTGTCCTTTAGAGCGCTCACATTTATTCCATTACTTCACCTGAGACCACCTCCTAAATTCCCATCTCTTCACTCTCAGAGGATGCATCACTTACAGATGGCTCCCAAACACAGAGACACCAAAACACCTCGGAGATTTTAACAATTCCTCTTCTTAAGGCAGAGACAGAAAATCTCTTTGGATGTATCATCCTTAGTCAAGGCAGATAAATACTTGTGGGTATCTTTGTGGATCTTTTGAGCCATCCGTGTAACTGCTCCCTCTTTTTGGAAGGATGCAGTTAATTCTCATTAGTAAGAGCTGAAGATCCATCATCACCCATGGTTCAGCCTCATATTTAACCTCCAACTCCTAATATTCTGTGATTCATAATACAGTTTTTCTGAATTATATCACTCAAAACCTATCTGGAATTAGATCTCCCAGGGCAGGGAACGGGAGTATTTCATAGCACAGCATTTTGTAGATCATCTAAACCTGATGAGATGGGTATCTTGGATAGGATCTCTCATTAGAGCTGGACAACTGGAGTCTGTAACACATAATCAAAGCTTCAGGTCCAATTGGCAGGGTGGATAAAAAGGGCAAGTTTCTGTCACAGGTATTCAGGCGCACTAACATTTAGAATAAAGATGTAAATAACCCTAGCTATTAAACACCCTCTGTTGTTAATTCTGTGATAGGAGGCTTCCAACAAGCAAATGACGACCAAACATGAGAAGTGAACTAGTTACAACAACCACTATGTGGAATAAACATCAAACAAACAAATAATAAAGAAACAATCTCTTTAGCAAGGCTTTAGCAAAGTTACTTATCTTAATGCTCACCCTGTTTTCTCAAAAATTGACACTAGGAACATCTGAATCTCAGCAAACATAACTGATTTCCCAGCTCTTTATCTGCATATACGATACAGACAGCATTTGAAGAAGTATTTGAAGTGTTCAGAAGAAGAATTTGGTTTCTATCTAGTTGCTGTTCAACAGACTTTAACAACCAGATGAAACACCACTCGCCACCACACCCCAGCTCAGCAGCACTTCAGGCTTTCAAATTAAGGTCCTCCACCAAACTGGCTGCAGTGATACAAAGGCCAAGAAAAGCCAATCTAGAAATACTGGTGGAGTTATACAACGAACAACTAAAAAACCCCACGTAAGCAGACTAGGTTCTTGCTAAATAAACCCATATAAATCACCACAGACCGTAAGGGAAGCGCTCCCAACAGTGCCCAAGCTGTCCAAGGGCCATACCTGCAAGGGGAGGTTTCCTGATGTTATTTAGAGACTGAATCACCAGTTTCACTTCACACCATTAGAGTAATCCCATAATAACTGCACTTTGACTGCTGGTAGGACCAGAACCCAAAGAGGCAGAGCAAGGAGCCAGG